CTCCATTCGCGGGCTGGGCCCGCTTTTTCTCAGGTGATCGCAAACATGGACCAATGGGGGCGTGGATTAGCGACGGGTCCCGTTTCCATGGGAAATCGCGAATTTCGGCCGCCGAGCGAGGCGGCACTGGCCGCATCTTGGGGAGGGCACCTCCCCCGATCCACGGATTTGGCGACCGCGCGCCAAATCCGTGGATCGTTAATCCATGTTTGTGCGCCTCCGAATTTTGCACGATGCTTCGATTTTCCGTCATCGATGAGATGCGATTCGCGGGCTGGGCCCGCTTTTCCGATTGGAGCCGAATATGGTTCGATCCGCTGGCGTATTGGCCAGGCGCGGCCGCCCGATTTCGAATCGATTCGATTCGGGACGATTTGACTTCGAGCCGATGAGATTCCGATCCGATGCGATCTCGCGATTCGGTCCAGCTCGGGCCTGCCACGGGCATCACGGGAGAGCTCGGTTGCGCGTAATATTGACCTTTCGTTGGAGTGACCTTTAGTGCGGCTCACAGGGGTCCTCTCAGCATCGGCTGGCGCGCTTGAATTTGGCCCCCCCCGCCGCCCCTTCATGCCGCGCACCAGGGGTCATGCTTGCCTAGGGTTCCTGCGTGCAGCCGAAGGGTTCATCGTGTGCACGGCGTGAGGTGCCGCTGGGCGGGGGTGTTCGGCGGCGCGGGCGAGGAGTGAGAGGAGCACGGGACGCAGCGAGGAGGAGGAGGAGGAGAAGGAGGAGGAGGAGAAGGAAGAGGAGGCGAAGGAGGAGGAGGCGGAAGAGTAGGCGGAGGAGGAGGCGGAGGAATTCGAGAAGGAGGCGGGAGGAGGGGGTATAGTGGAGGGAGGAAGGAGGAGGCCAGACGGAAGAAGGAGGAGGAGGAGAAAAGGAAGAGGGACAAGGGACCAGGGAATGGGGGAGTTGGCGGGGGAGATGGACGTGATGGAGGACGTGTGGATTTCGGAAATGGTCAACGCTTGTGCGAAGACTGTGGGTCCAGACTTCTGGAGATTAGAACGAACTGTGAAGGCGTGTATATTGCAGGCGGGAGCACGATCAGGAGACGGGGCATGCGAACTAGCACGCTTCATTGATTGTTTTCGCTTGGAAGAGTAGTCGCGGACACATTTACTTCCCACCAGTGGCAGCTGTGGTAACTGGCATCAACCCGTGTATCATGAACGTGGAACAGGCAGCCCGCGATATGCAGACCAGATAACGCAAATCAAGCACTACCAAATTTGTGGTGCCACATGGGTTGCGCTGTGTATGCATGGGTGTCGCGCGCGGCGGAGGAGAGGAGAGGAGAGGATGAGGAGTAGTGGCAAGTTTCATGTGGGATCGGTCTTGTTCATAATCATCTAGTTGGTTTAGGTGGACACTTCGCGATGAGTGCACCACCCTCGTACGTTCATCCCAGGGTCCCTCAGGTACGCAGCGGAGCGCCTGGCCAGTCAGACCACGGAGCTGATCCTGAACAGGCCGGACAGGGTACCACTAGCTGCGGCCTTAGCGGTACATGGGTGGTCCTCGTACGGGGCCAGGACGAAGATAAATCCGTTGCAAGGCGTTCCGGAACGCTCTTAGAGCGTTCCGGAACGTTCTGAGAAGGTTGCGGCGCCCGAGACCCTCCAGAGCCGCCAGATCTCAGATATTCTCGATTTATCCTCACCCGATTGTGCCCTCGTCATGGCTTCGTCTTCGATCCTTTTGATTGGGACCTTTCGCGAGTTTGCAGGTCTGGCAGGCGGCGTGGCACGAACCCTTGATGGGATCAGGTAAGGTTGGGCGGACGGTACATCGTCGTCGGGAGGGCGAGGGCGGAGGGGATGCTGACCAGGAGCAGCGGCAGGAGGAGAAGGAGAGGGAGCGGGAGCATTAGCAGGGGAAGGAGGTGGAGGGAGGGGAGAAGGATTGGAAGGGGATGCGGACTAGGCGCAACAGGAGGAGGACGAGAAGGAGGAGGAGAATGAGGATAAGGAGGGGAAGGAGGAGGAGGAAGAGGAGGAGGAGGAGGAGGAGGAGGATGAGGAGGAGGAGAATGAGGCGGAGGAGGAGGAGGAGGATGTTTATGATGATGTGGATGATTACTGAGCGTAGATAGTGGTGTAGTTGAGGTGGGCGGATGCTGGAGGATCGGTTGTTGATCATGGGTGGTGACGAGGTTGAGGATCATTGGAAGCATAGTTGGAAATGGGGAGAAGGATATGAGGAGGAGGAGGAGGAAGAGGAAGAGGAAGAGGGAGAGGAGAGGGAGGAGAAAACAAGTGGGGAGAGATGGGGGTGGGGGCGGGGGGTGGGTGGAGGAGTTAGGAGCTGGGGGTGCTGGGTGGAAAGAGATGGAGTCAGTGGACATCGCGCGTGTTGGCGTGACTCTGGACCCGAACCCCATGGGCAAGGGGGGTACACCACGGTGACTGGGGACGGTGGGCCCGCTCGGGTGCTCCAGTGGACCGCCGAGGACGTGCAGCAGACGCTCTGGGAGGTCGTCGGGAGGCTGGAGAAGGCCTGGCTCCTCTGCCTGCGAGGGCCGGGGAGTCGCCGCTCCTCCCTCGACACGGCCCCTGTCTGCCTCCTCTCCCTCCTCATCCCTCCCTTGCCATCCCTCTTCCACCTCGTCTTCCTCCTCCTGCCTCCTCCTGCCTCCTGCCTCCTCTTCCTCCTCCTCCTCCTCTTCCTGCCTCCTCCTCTTTCGTCTCTCCTCTCCACCTCCGCCGTTTCTTGAGGGCCCTCGGGCCCATGGGAGGCCTCTTGCCTCAGGGTTCCTTGTCGGGTGTTGCCAGAGATGACCCGGGCCTCGGGTGGCCCCAGCTTTTCTGGGGAGGCCCAGATAGCCTCCAGAGGAGCACCCCTCACGAGGCCAAGAGATTTTCAAGCGTTTCGAATTACATAGCACCCCGCAATTGCGGATAAGAGTGAGGAGGCGGGCGCGGGCGACGCGGGCGTCGAGCCGGCGGACCTCGCGGCCCTCACCTTCCCTGTCGATGGCGCCCTCCTCCTTCTCCTCCTGCTCCTCCTCCTCTTCTTCGTCTGCGTCCTCGTCCTCATCGTCGTCGTCGTCGTCGTCGTCGTCGTCGTCGTCCGCCTCCTCCCCCTCCCCTTCCTCCTCCCCCTCCTCCTCCCCCTCCTCCTCCTCTTCCTCCTGCTCCTCCTCCTACTCCTTCCTCCTCCTCCTCCTCCTTTTTCTCCACATTCTCCTTACCTTCTCTCTTCTTCCGCGTCCTCCTTGTTCCCTGTTGACTCCTCTGCCTCGCCCTTCTTTCTCAAGAAAACGGTGAATTAATCTTGTTTTTTGCACGGAATGCTCACCGACTTCTCTGATCCAGGCAACTCGCCAGGACAAAGTTGCTGGATGGGCGGGTGTGGATGAGCGGAGCTTGAAAAGGTCTTGGGGGGCTCAGACGGCATGCAAAATCCGCCGCCGCGCTTGTGCGGCACTGGCGTGCCGTGTCGCAGGGTTCGTGGACGCCCCCATCAGGAGGGTCCTTGAGCGCCCCGAGGCCCCTTAATTGTGGGCGCCTTGAGGCAGCTTCCCCTGGACCCATGCTTTGGACACGGATGCCGAATTGCAGCAGGCAGCTGGATTGTTAATGAACGTGTTTAGACACAGCCCCGCCGCAGGCGCCGATGTGCTGTTGTAGAGTCGTCGTGGGCCAGATCAGGGGAATGGCACGAAGGCGCTTTCCCACACCGATGCGAGCAAGCCCGCCGCAAGCGCCGATTTGCGTGCCCTGACCAGTTCAGCGCGGGGGGGTCGCTGATGGGCCACCCGGAACGACTGCAAAATCAGCCCGCCGCATGCGCCGAATTTTGGCTTGTTCAGTGAACGTAGTTTGGGTCGCGTGTGGGTCGCGAGCTTTCTACCTCCACCTGGAAGGAATTCAAAAACAGCTCGCCGCACGCGCCGAACATATTGATTTGTACACTGAACGCGGTTTGGGTCGCAGGTTCTCCACGTGGAACGAATGCAAAAAAAAAACCCGCCGCATGCGCCGAATTTTGGCTTGTTCAGTGAACGTAGTTTGGGTCGCGTGTGGATCGCGGGCTCTCCACCTCCACCTGGGGGGAATTCAAAAACAGCCCGCCGCAGGCGCCGAAACTTTTTTGATTTGTACACTGAACGCGGTTTGGGTCGCGGGTGGGTCGCAGGTTCTCCACATGGAACGAATGCAAAAGAAGCCCGCCGCAGGCGACGAAAATTTTGGGTGGGTCGCGAATGAGTCGGGGGTCGCGGTGGGTCGTGGGTGGGTCGCGGGCGCGGGGGTTGTCGCGGGGTGGGTCGCAGGTTCTCCACCTGGAACGAATGCAAAAGAAACCCGCCGCAGGCGCCGAACATTTTGGGTGGGTCGCGGGGTGGGGTCGCGGGTGGGTCGCGGTGGGTTCGGGGTGAGTCGCGGGTGGGTTGCGGGTGGGTCGCGGGGTGGGTCGTGGGGCGGGTCGCGGGCGTGTCGCGGGTGGGTCGCAGGTGTCGCCTGGGGGGTCTCGGGGTGGGTCGCGGGCGGGTCGCGGGGTGGGTTGCGGGTGGGTCGCGGGTGGGTCGAGGGTGGGTCGCGGGGTGGGTCGCGGGTGGGTCGCGGGGTGGGTCGCGGGTGGGTCGCGGGCGGGTCGCGGGGTGGGTCGCGGGTGGGTCGCGGGGCGGGTCGCGGGTGGGACGACGACAGCAACAAACAACAAACAACAAACAACAAACAACAAACATCAATCAACACAACAAACAACAATCAACGCACAACAAACAACAAACAAAACAACAACAACAACAACAACAACAACAACAACAACAACAACAACAACAACACCAACAACAACAACAACAACACCAACAACATCAACATCAACAACATCAACAACAACACCACCAACAACAACAACACCACCACCACCAACAACAACAACAACACCAACAATAACAACAACGACAACAACACCAACAACAACAATAATAATCCGTGTCGCGGAATTCCACTTCAGCCACGCACCCAGGGACAATGAATGACCGTTCGGTTCAGCCCCCATCACTCTGACTATCTCTTATGTAAACAAATCCTGGGGAGGCTTGTCCAAGGGGGGGTGCCAGGGGGTGGTTGTTTGGATCCTTGTGGGGTTGTCCAAGGGGTTGTACGGGTCGCGTTGCCTTGCTGGCACGTGCACGAGGTCGTCCAGTTAGTTTCGCCTGGGGTATCCTCGCAAAACTGGGCTCCGAGATACCAAGCACGAGTTTGTCCAGACAGTTTTGCAGGAGACATCGTCGCGACCTCCTGGGCTCCGATATACTCTGGCCTGAGGTGGTCTGGCCAGTTTTGCATGAGATTTCCTCACGAATTCTGGGCTCAATGATACCAAACGCCCTGTTGTCTGGCAAGTTTCGCCCGAGAAGTCCTCGCAACTCTGGGCTCAGAGGTGCTCTGACCGGAGGTGTTCCACGCAGTTTCACCCGAGACATCCTCACACTTCTGGCTTCTGAAATGCCGCGCGAAAGTTGGTCTGACCAGTTCCGCCTGAGACATCCTCGCAACACTGCGCGCTGGCCACGTAACTGATTGGGAACGGTACTCGCCTCAACACCGGCCAAATCCTTTATTGCGTACGTATGGTGTTGCCGCTCGAATGCCAGCAACATCCGTGATTCGGAATGGTGCCCTCGCCCGAGATCTGGTTACATCTCCTGTCTGGGATTGGTGCTGTCGCCTTCGCGCTGGCCACATGCCTCATCATTAGGCGTGGTGCTCTCGCCTCAGCGCCAGCCACATCCCTAAGTGGGTATTGTGCTGCCGCTCGAGCGCCAGCCACCCCAATCACATGCTGGGAACGCTTATGGTCTGCACCTTGGAGGGGTTGTCTGGATTGTCTGGGGGGTTGTCCGGGGATTTTTGTTGGATAAGATGTTTCTTCCACTGAACATAGTAGGGTCAAAAACCAGGGGCCCCGTGAGCCGTGATGACCTGTGGCAACCTCCGATCCTTATTCCATCGCGATAGGACTCCGTGCCTGATCCCTCGGGCCGGACAGGTCTCCAGTCTGGGTCTCAGGGGTTCCCTGCACGGGGCGACCGATAAGTCGAGGGCTGGTTCGACCCGAGCAGGAGGCCCAAGTCCGCCTAGAAACGCAGCGCGCTCCTCGTCCCCTGCGCAAGGCACTGCCGAGTGAGCGACATGAACATCGAGGGGGGCACCTGGCGGCGCGACGTCACCTGCGAGTGGGGCGACCGCGAGGCGCAACGCTTCCGAGCAGGCGAGCCCCCGGGGGCACTGTCCATGGGCCGGCGCAGCGCTCTGCTCGAGTTTTCCGAGGGGGAACGCGCGAGGGTCTTCGAGGCCATCGACGTGCGGGGGCAGCCTGCGGCCTGGAGGGGCGAGCTCGTCGCTTCCTGGGCCATCGACTCATCGAGCAGCAGCGCGGCCAGAGCCTCGTGTTCGCAGACTGCCTTTCGAGCAAGTGGCCCGAGGCGGTGGCGCTCCGAGCGTGGCTCCAGAATGCGTTCAGCGCGGCCGCGGCCCCCGACGTCGCGAGCTTCCTGCAGGGGCCGGGCGCCCGCGAGCGCAGCCAGCTCAAGGCCGTGATCCGAGAGGTCAAGGCCGAGATGCGCTGGGCCATGGGGCAGGGCTGGGCCCAGAAGGGCACGGCCGAGCCCCAGGAGCAGTGCCGGTCCCCGACCAGGTGGGGGCTCTACGAGCGCTTCTACTGCGTCTCCGAGGCCCGCGCCCGCTTCCACGAAAAGAACAAGGGCGCGGTGCCGCTCCAGGGGCTGCGCGCGAACCAGCGCTCGCGGCCTGGCCGGCAGAGCAGGGCGAGCTCAAGGTAGTCGCGTGCGTGGGGCCGTGGAGCCACTGGACCTCGAGCCCACCGACGAGCACGGAGGACATGCTCAGAACGCCAGGAGAGCGGATCAAGGATATCCAGTTCCCGCGCGCCCTCGAGAACCGGGTCAGGCTCAAGCGAACAGGAAAACGCGAGAGCAGGTGGGCGTTCAAGTTCTCGGGATTGTTCCCGGCCAAGCTGCAGCGCGTGCGGCGTCGCGAGAAGGCCGAGACTAGCGGCGAGGCCTCGCTCGAGCGCCTAAGCCGAGGCGTAGCTCGCAGGCAGGCAGCCCAAGGCGAAGACGAGCGTCTCCCAGAAGTTCACGCTGAAGGAGCAAGCGGAGAAGGACGCCAAACAGCAAGCGAAGTCCGAGAATAACATGAGCCTCGAGGCCTGCGAGGACCCCCCCCGGCACTGCAAGGTGGCGCGCGTCACCGAGGAGGGGGTCCGCGAGGGCAGGCGCGGCGGAGTGCGGGGCGTCTGGCGAGTCCTGGGCACCGAGGGCGCGCGCCTCCTGCGCGTCCTCGAGGTGGAGACCGCGGCGATCTTCCGGACCGAGAGCAGCGAGACCGGGGGGCTCGCGAGGGCTCGTTAGCTTCCGGCTGCTTCCGACTCAGGCGGCGGAAGCAAGCGGGAGTTTGCGGGGGCTAGCGGAAACGGCGGAAGCGACGGCGGAAGCGGCGGAAGTTGGCGGAGAGCTGGCGGAAG